GACAACCCCGTAACAATATGCGTTTTGTACTGCTGTTACACAGCACAAAACGCATAAAAAACTGAAATCCTTTTATACAGACACACATACGCGTGGAAACACAAAAACAAGGACACGATCCCGTCTTGAACGATCTACGTAAAAACGTTGGAAAATGCATTTCACACTTCACATTTAGGCAAGCAAATGTCCGCGACTGGATCCATACAAGCATTCATCACCGCACTATAAGTCCGACCTTACCTGTGAGCAGGGTTTACCTGGATGGTCAAAAGATGCGGATTGTATGTGTGAATATCCCGTGGCCGCACGTGATGCAAAAGGATGCCCAACCGGATTTTACACACTTTGCTATCGCGGTCCTTTTGGCAGCAATGCATTACCAGAAGATGGGGTATGTTATTAATTTATACTAACTATTCATACTAGACGATTATTTATGCCAGTCCAGCAGCTTGTAATAATCTCTAAGTTGTAGCAAAGTAGCGTATAATATACTGAAAGTGATGAATTTCATTCTATTTGGAAGGCAGAAAGTGGATTCAGTATTCTCATTTATAATAAAAAAGCCTAGGCCTGGTGTCGCAATTTGTTCGGCGGTTTTTGAACGGTAAAAAAACAACAGCCTGACCATTGTAGTGACCAAAAGGTTGCTTCCTTTTGCTGACACTGTGTATCAGTGAATGGTACTTATGAAAAGTAAATGACTAGTCGCGTGAATATTGTGCCTAAACTGTTGCGAAAGAAATTTATAGCGGAATCGAACTCCGATTCCGAGGTTCAGAGAGAAGAATTTGGTGGTTCAGTGGTTGCAACAATTCTTCTCCTGTCTTATTCGACTGGGCTCTTCGTAATCCTAAAATAGTTTCTAAAAAATTAACTATCAAATCGTTACCTCAGGTTTAAGTAGAAGAATGTCCAATGCACCAAATTAATAATATGGTCGTACAGCGGCGAAATACCAGTATTCAGCGGCCGAAAAGACCAGGCCTCTGGGTTCTAAATCTCACTGAGTCCTCCCTATCGCCTCGGCCTTGCCGAGTCCGCCACCTCGTCTTCCGCGTCGTACCCAAAACACAGTCCTGTCGTCGACCGCCCGCTCGTCCTCGACCGTTTATCCCAACTACCCTGCTGTCGCCGCTCCGCAGTCCCCGTTTTGTCAACATGTTTCATGTTTTACAAAACATCACATGTACGAAAACAGATCACGAAAACATCACCATATGTGCGTATCGGCGAAAATAAGTGCTGATTAATTGTCGAGAAACATAACATGAACATAAATCATCGATATTTATAACTGTTTTATAAACATCACTTAATGCGACATAAACACTGAACAGAGCATTAATTGAAATCGTGGTCGAAAGGCTTGACACAGGTGCGCTTGCGTATGGAAACATCCCAGTAATACCACTAACACAGGGTCTCCACACCGAGTGTGTGGGTTGTGCAAACATTTTTGGTATTAAAACATCCTCAATGTGAAAAAATAGAGGAATTTTTAATACCTGTTTATTTATGAGAGTTAAAGTATCAATACTGCTCTCGAAATAATTATTTTTGGAGTATGAATTTTGCCCACGAAATTATCATCATTGTTATTGTCAACGCTGTTGCTATTTTCATTTACTCCGTGGCTTTTTGAACTTTAAATTACACTGTAGAGTATGTATTG